AGAACGGATATTGTAATGGACCTCGGTGAGAGTCTCAATCCAGCGATAGATATTGGCCAGATTGAAGGCGGTTTCATACAAGGCTACGGTTTGTTTACCATAGAAGAATTAATTTATTCACCCACCGGAACTTTATATTCGCGAGGGCCGGGTGCTTACAAAATTCCTGGATTTGGCGATATTCCTCTAGAATTCAACGTTTCATTGTTAAAGGGTGCACCTAACCCTCGAGCAGTTTATTCTTCTAAGGTAAGATTTTCAGTTCATAACTCTAGTAGTAAAATGAAAAGAACATGTCATATTACAATATTGCGAGAAAACGAGGGCTATAAATATTTATCTAGCATGATTTGCTCGTTGTTCGACTTTAATCTTTTAAAGTAAAAAAACAATACACTGATAAGGATAATATATTGTGATAATAATTTTACAACGTGTTGGCGTCCATGATACTGTGACAAGGCCTCATGCGGTGCAGTAAATTGCATTTAATCCGTAGAAAATAAGTTGTAAAAATTAAACGATAAACGTAAACATTTTACTGGTGGTAGGAACTCTTGTGAGTTCACGCGGGTAGGTACCACCACCCCGCCTATTTCAGCCGTGAAGCAGTAATGCGTTTCGGTTTGAAGGGTGGGGTAGCCGTTGTGACTATACTGAGACCTTAGAATTCATATCTCAAGGTGGGCGGCGGCATTTTCGTTGTAGATGTCTATGGGCTCCGGTAACTACTTAACACTAGGTGGGCTGTGAGCTCGTCCATCTATCTATGCAATAAATAAGAAAATAAATAGGAGATTTTTTTCGAAATGTAATGTGCATATACATAGATAAATTTTTTTATCTATCATCTCCTGCTCATATACACTTAGAATATGAATTTAGCTTGACCGTCTGATAGTTGAAAGGTACAATTTTGATACTGTCATCCTTAAACTAGTACTAACGACACCATTAAAGATTCACAATAAGTAGTATTTTCTTAGTAAAGTTCTACAATTTATAAGCAGAGTAAGCGTTTATTGGGCGTCGGCAAACTGTAGGCCAAATAACCCTTAACTACTTTGATTAAAACGTTTAATATAAATTCGATAAATTTACTAGTAGCCATTCAAGTTCCGTTGCCCGCATTCCAGATTCAACAGCAGCGCAGCTCCATTGTACCATCAGAATTAACAAGAATTAAGAATTAGATAAACATCTGATCTTTATTCATAATATTATTTCCGATTTCATACATACATACAGGTGAAGTTATAGTTACGAGTTGGGATTTATAATGCACAAATTTTATCCAAAATTCACGTTTTTAATACGTTTTATAAAACACTTTCACGCTCACTCCTAAGCGATGTTACTTTCACTATATGTGTGAACACACACAAAAGTATGAGCTTTTACTTCACTTTTGATCGGTTGTATCGCATAATATTAAACTTCCACTGCTGGCTCTCGTTCACGTTTATATGCACCACATGCAACCAGCACAGAAAGCACTAGAACTTTCTCGAACTTTTCCATAAGACTACCTGACCTAGTCTTTAACGAACCTCATACGCACTGCGATTTTTTTAGTAGATGCTTTAAGTACTTCTGTAATGTTTCGGAGTATTACTATTGCGTTTAAACAAATAATAAATTCGACTATTTTTATGAGAAGATACTTTTCGACAAAGATTTTCGAGACAGTATTTACAAACTAAAACCTCAAATAAATGTTTTCAGGCCGTAGGAGAACCTCCGCTGTTCTTGGCTTCTTCAGCTTATTTTGCGATACATGAAGCCATTAAAGCTGCAAGAGCAGATGCCGGAGTACCGCTCGAGTTCGACATGGAGGCACCAGCAACATCTGCTCGAATTCGAATGGCATGTGAGGACCATATAACGAAGAAAGTGAGTCTTAGGCACTAAAAACATTTTATATTTTTACTTTATTGCGTTATTTGGATAGACGGCTCACAGTCCTCTTGGTGATAACTGGATACCGGAGCTCATAGGCATCAGAAACATGTATTCTGCTTCCCACTCTGAGATATACAATTGCTTAGATGGGTGAACGAGCTCACGGCCCACCCGGTGTTAAGTGGTTACCGGTTACAACGTAAATGCCGTCACCCACCTTGAGATAAGAGTTCTAAAGTCTCAGTATAGTTACAATGGCTGCCCCACACTTCAAACTGAAACACATTACTGCTTCACGGCAGAAATAGTCAGGGTGGTGGTACCTACCCGTGCGGACTCACAAGAGGTCCTACCAGTAAAATAGACAGGATGGTGGTATCTGGCGATGTGGGCTACTCTGCCACCGGTAGCCTATTTGCATGATGAGCTTAGTTGCCAACTACTTGTAGATTTTGAAAGAGGTAGAAAGTGAGTGTTGCGGCTAATGGTCATTTTAGGGGGTAGGTATTCAAACCGTGCTGTATATGGGATCCTAACCCTAATCCGATAACGAAAATTGTTCATGTATTGAGGTGGACCAAGGGTTTGACATGAAATATCTCTGAAGTCTGGTCCTTCAGTTCTTCAAACATTTCTAATTTAAAAATCTAAAAAGGTATTTCGAATTCGTAATACAAAAATAACCCAACAAAATCAAACAAACATAATTCTTTGAACGATAATAGCAAAATAAACCATAAAAATTCATAGTTTAATATTCTAAGTCAGCGGTAAAACTATAACATTAACCAGTTGAACAAATGTTATTTACTCACAATAAAAATTGTTTTTATTTCAGCTTGATAAACCAGATCCAAATAGCTTTGTGCCGTGGAATGTTGTCCCTTAACAAAAGATTGAAAAATTCACTACCTACTCACTCGTATACTATTTGTAAGCTATATTGAAATATATTAAATAGATATGTTTTGTTTATCTTTTGTTTTATTTACGGGTGCAAAAAAAATCAGCACACCTGATTTTATCGATATATGAATAAGTTTATCTTTCCAAAAGTCGCTTCCCCGGGGGTGTGCGTCGTCGTATGGGAGCGATTCAGTGATTCCAGGGGTGACACTAAACCACAAAAGTCAATTTTTTTTACACTCCCTATGCTAATAGCCTTGATATTTCAGTTTCTCCTTGACAAGTAGGCTAGTTCACGGGCTCAACCTGAGAGGATTTGTTAACACTAGCCCTAGCAAGAGCAATGATTTGCAGAATCTAGCACCGGATCGGAATCGCGACCCACTGAGAAGATCCGGTGAGAAACTCAGTGGGCTGGGTCTTTGGGTTAGTTTGCTCGTCGAATTCTTCGTCGTGATCGGCGTGTTCGACGAGGACGGTGATCAGGGCTTGATGGGCCTAAAAGCACCGAGAGTGGATCCGGGGGATCCGACAAGACATGTTTCGGGCGACGGCGGCTTTGCGTTTCTCCGTCGCATTGGTCGGATATGTAGTTAGCGGTGGCCACGATAAGAGGATTATTGTGTCCCGTCGCTTCGTCGAAGTAGCGTTTTGATGCTATCTAAAGATACTCACGTATCGGTTCTAAACTTATATCGTAATGAAGGTCGAAATCATGTACCACGGTGCTCCAACGGCTATTCCGCAGAAACGGGATTGGAAGACCTTGCTTCAGATGTTCTGAAAAAAAATCCGAAGTGGCACCGATAGTAATTTTATTGCTCAATTTCAATACACCATAATATAGCCATTTCAACAACCCACCAATCTTCAAATTTTCTATGAGCTCCGTAAAATACCTGATAGACAAGTAATAAGTTCTGTTTTTTTACCATTTTTTCCAAGCCTTAACCGGAGTAAGTTGCATCCAATGCAGTTTTATTATTCACTTGCCTCACTCGAGGTTATCGCTAGATAAACTAAAGAGGACGCATGTTGTATGATGTCATTTGAAGCCAAATTAAGAGATGAGCTAACTTTGTATCAAACACGTATGAGTTTACTCATATGTGACATCAGGCGTTGTGATTGGTGTTTTACTTGAAGAAATGTTAGAATAATTCTTTATTTTAGTGATTTCAGTATTATAGGAAATTAGTAATGCCATGATTGTTTTAATCTCATTAAGATATCTTAAGATTGCTTTTTGGACTGTATGTATTTACGCAAAGTAAAACCATTGTTTCACGAATTTACAGTCAACGGTTGCTGCAAAATTTAAATATCTCATATGCTCATGAAGAGGACAGTTCAAAATTTAGTTTCGAATTTAAATTCCTAGTGGAAATATTATCTTACAAAATTAAAATAGGGTTCGTGATTAATTAAAAAAAAANAGATATCTTAAGATTGCTTTTTGGACTGTATGTATTTACGCAAAGTAAAACCATTGTTTCACGAATTTACAGTCAACGGTTGCTGCAAAATTTAAATATCTCATATGCTCATGAAGAGGACAGTTCAAAATTTAGTTTCGAATTTAAATTCCTAGTGGAAATATTATCTTACAAAATTAAAATAGGGTTCGTGATTAATTAAAAAAAAAAGAGGCAAATTTCATTATTTTTATTTAAAATCATAACTAATCATAACAACTATTCATATTACGAACTAAAATAACAAGAACCATTGCAAAACTTTTCCTATTAATGACCCTGACGTCGCGAAACATTAATTAATGAAATAGTATAAATTGTTAAGTGGCAATAAATAATTCATAAATATATTGAAATTAAGAGATAGGTGCAGAAAGGTATTGAAAGCTTTGAAGCATGATCTATTTCTAAGATTAAATAATTAAGAGTAATTTGGTAAGGATATGAATATTTAAAAAAAACCGCGAAGTGTGAGGCGTAAATTAAGTTAATTTTTAATAAGTTAATAATTGTTTGAAACGATAAAGTCACCAACTTTTTACAATCGCACCGCCCGCCACTAGAGCAGAGTTTCCACGTACTACCTAGGAACACTGCGTTTATCCATAGGGGATCCATGGAGTTAATTTTCGACACGTAGTGTCCAGTGTGATTAGTGCGAGTTTTTTTAACGTTCTCGATAGCGTAAAAGTTAGCTCATATTAATTGTATGGAATGGGATCGTTTGCGTACGTTTGCCGCTAGGGGGCGCTGTTCCAACTGCATACAAAATTGGGTTAACTTTTACGCTATCGAGAACGTTAAAAAACTCGCATAAGCACACAGATCCGGAATGAATTCCTCTCCACAATATTCCCCAAAAAGCGAGAACATGTCCTTGTTCCGTCGACATTTGGGGAGAGTCTTCAGTGTTGGCAACGGTTTGGCTTTGCCTTTGACATTGATAACGTCAATGCACGATAGTGATCACTTACCCGCATGGTACGCACATCCTCGAAACCAATAAAATTGTTACCATTCAAATATTGTTAAGTAAATAATGGCCTGCTATATTATATCAAATTACATCTAACGTAAAAATAGTACAGTTTTTAATACAGTCTGTTTGGAAGTTAAGCAGTTTTTTTTTTAAATTATTTTCTATTATATCTACAAAGAATATTAAAACACACATCGTCTACGTTTTTCCCATGATATAAAATATACAGAGGATAGATAAATAGAATCATGTCACTAAGCCTATATATGATAAATCAAACTACATATTTATTAAAATTTGAAGTTTCCTAAAATGAGTGGTCGTCTTACTCATAATGCGTTATTGGATCTCTTTTACGCCTGATATATAATGAATCTCGAAATAAAGTCATATTGAAAATAAATAAGACCATATTGTAAATGACAAACACTCTTCAGACAGTATTTTTATAACGGGCTCATAAAACTCCGATAACCCATTATGAATAAGATGATTGAGCCTAAAAAAATACTATTTATAGATTAGTTTAACATAATAGCATTGTTATGTACAGAAGTAAATAATTTAATGAATTACACATACATATTATTCACAATTTTAATTTTAATTTTTGTTATTGTTTGTTTATTTTTATGAGTTGTTTGTTTCTACAATGTTGTTTTGTAGAATAAATTAAATGCAAAATAACTTTCCGTTTCAAATGGTGTTAAGACCTTTTGGAATTAAGCGTCAAAATCTACATACGCTTGTTCAGACCGTTATCAGAAGTACTCTCAAATATAATTTAAATGATTCTGAAACATTAGCCATCTCAGTGAAGAAGCTGTGTAAAGTCGACGAATTAGAAATGTTTAATAACTACAGTAAGTAGCACAGACACAAATAATAACAAATAAATTATATTTACAGACTAAATTTCTTGATTGTTTTTCTGACGGTACACGCAATTTCTGATTCGTAACGCAGATCCAAACGTCTTTTTTTGATAACATTTGAACTGGATATTTGGTTACCCATTAGGAACAATTTCAATTTGCAGTATATTAATTACTTTTTATAATATAATGCAGAAATTCATAAACTTGTGAATAGTTTTGGGAATTTTTTTTTACTTTTATTGAAGCAAATCTCTAATATTTTTACTGAACCACTTCAATGTTTAAATTTTTATCAAAACCTTAAGTAGTGATTAACAGAAACGAATGTAATTTTTTTTTGTTGTTTATTTCCAGTTTCTTACATAGCGCACCTTTCTTTCTAAGTACTAAAAACATTTAGATCTCGGTGTTGTTATTGTATGAATACTTTAATAAGTATTTTATTTATCGGATTCCGAGGAACAACCTGAGCCAGAGCTGGGACCTGAAAAGAGTCGACACCAAAATAATTAATTGCTTGACTTACATAAACCAAATTACATATTATTATAATTGAAAAATCAACACACTGGTCCAGTATGTGCTTATTGCATTATATTCTTATAAATCAATTAAAAAAAAAGCGACATTGTATTTTTTACTGGTGGTAGGACCTCTTGCGAGTCCGCACGAGTATGTACCACCGCTCTGCCTATTTCTGCCGTGAAGAAGTAATGTGTTTCGGTTTGAAGAGTGAGGGAGCTCACAGCCACCTGGTGTTAAGTGTTTACCGGAGGCCATAGACATTTACAACGTAACCACCGTGAGATATGTGTTCTAAGGTATCAGTATAGTTATAGTAATCGGCAAACTTCTTGAGCAAACGACCTTGACTGCGCAGAACCGAATTTTAGATCACTTTGGTGGTGAGGATGAGGCGCGACGGCAGGGGAAATCGTATCGAGCGCGTTATTGGTAGATCAGTCGAACCCTGCGTCCCGCACCACGCCCTCATTCCGCTTGCTCCCAAAAGTACGCTTGCGTACAGTGGAAAGTCTATCGTTATTAATCGTTAAGTTATTTGTTGTAATTGCTTGTGGACTTTGTTGCCATTGCTATTTGTTGAGTGTTTGTTGATTTTTTATAAAACATACACTATGCCGTGACAAACTGGTGTAGTACTTAAAAGAAAGGGTAGAAAATTTGTGTACGACGTATATTGCTTCATTATAAAACAGGGGAAGAATGATATGGAAAAATTAAAACAGACTTCGGAAGCAACAAAAACATCAGTGAGTACTGTTAGGTGCATTATTAACGAAGCTAAAGGCTCTGGCTTGCTCGCCGTGTTTCGGACTCCGGGTAAGAAAAGATCAGGGAAGAAGAAAGTTACCGGAATGGATAGTTTCGTTCAATCTGTAATAAAAAGATGTAATCATAATAACTACATAACAAGCAGCGAAACTCCGTACCGTAGAAAGGCTTCGAAAAATTTAAAGAAGATATAAATTTTAATGGCTCGGAATGAAGCTTACGACGAATTATGAAAGAGCTAGGCTTCAGATGGAAAAAAAGAACAGAAAATAATCGGAAGCTGGTAAATGAAAAAAGTAACATTCGATTACTACGAATCGAATATCTTCAAAAAATAATTAATTATAGACAAAAAAGAAGACCGAATCGACCGAGTTGTAAACTACGCCGATGAGCCCTATGTCGACTCATCACGATGATAGCGACTCGGGTGATGAAAACAGTGATGATGATGATGGTCAAGATTATGATAACGAAAAAAAAATTACAAATACCAGCTTCGCTTTAACTGAACCAAGACCTGGCAACAGCTCTAGTTTTGACTTAATAGAAGGAATATCTATTTTACCCCAAGATTAAATTATTACAATTATTAACCTATATGTTTTGTTGATGTTCTAATAAATATATAAATAAATACATATGTTGATTTTAATAATTTAATAGCATTATGACGCAGAGTAAGTAATGTTTTTGCACGTGAGTGTACCATGCGCAAACTTACCCCCACTACGTCAACAAATGCTCAAGAAGTTTGCCGGTTATTATACAACGGCTGCCCCACCAGGTCGACCGAAGAAGACATGGATGAAGTGTGCGAATGACGACATGAGAGAAAGAGGAGTCAGTGTTGAGATGACTGCTGATAGAGGAGAATGGATTAGAAAAATTCGTTGTGCCGACCTCACCTAGTGGAATAAGGTGAAAAGGAGAAAGAAGGACAAAAAGAAGAATTAAAAATATCGCCAAGAATATCTATCTTTTTAATACGTTTTTATTAGCTTCAAACGTATGTAAAGGAATCTTTGAACATGATTTTGACCCACTTCAAAACGTCGGATTAACTCGAAATTTGGTATAATTATTAAGGACAGATGACAATTCAATGTTTAAAAAAATTTTTGAAAAACTTGAAATTCAACTAAAAAATGGAAAATAAATACTTAATAGTTTAAAAAAACTAACAAAATACGCTTTTAAAGAAAAATATAAATATAATTGTATATAAATATAATAAATATATAATAAATATTTAATAAATTTGAATTAAGAATAGTGTAAGAAATCATGATTTTATTAAAATTTATTTTCTATTTTTTAGTTGAATTTTTCTAAGAAAGCGTATTTCGTTAGTTTTTTTAAACTATTATTTTTTTATTTACGGTTCTAGAGTAGAGTTTGTGGAGTTTACCTGAATGCCTCTGGTATCTGCTCCGTCGCCGCGTGCTCCTCGATGGACTGTCCGAAGGGTATTCGGATTCTGTTTCGGGCGCGTTACGAGACCTTGATCCACAACTACCTTCGTATCTGCAATCAATCGTTCTATTTTTGAACATGTTCAATTCTGTTAACTCTATCATTTATGTTTCATGGGTATATAATTAATTACATGGGTAAAGTAGCAATATTATCATTATATATTTGTATATTTATAGCTGGCACGCTCAACCTACAAAAAGTGGATGACTTTATCTATCTAGGCGATAATATCTGCAGCAACGGGTCTTGTGAGGGTGGCGTCAGACGACCCATAAGCATATCAATGAGCGTTATGTCTCAGCACCATAGAACATGGAGAAATAGGAAAATATCTTTTAAAACCAAAATGAGGCTTGTACGAACTCTGGTGTTCTCAATCCTTCTCTATGGTGCTGAGACGTGGACTCTGAAATCAGCTGATCGCCACCGCATTGATGCCTTTGCGATGTAGTGCTGGAGGAAGATGCTACGATTCCCATGGACAGCATATCAGACTAACGTATCCATATTAAAACAGCTCAATATCTAACCCAGGCTCTTTACCATCTACCTCAAGAGGATATTTGCAATCTTCGGCCACATTGCCAGAAAGAGTGGTGACAATCTTGAAAAGTTAATGGTAACTGGCAAGATTGCAGGCACAAGATCTCGTGGCCGCTATCCAGTGCACTGGTCCGACCAAATCGTCACCACTTTGAATACCGCAGTACCGCAGTCTACAGTCTACGATGCTATACACACCGCCGAGAACAGAGGAAGATGGCGAAACATCACTCAGAGAAGGATGATGAGTGGAGATGGTCACGACCCTCAGACATGAGGAATCCGACGCAGGGAGGAGGATATATTTATAAATATATTCTTTTTTAACCGATAAGTACACCGAGGCCAATTTCTTTACTGAAATGATTCTTGTCGACTGATGATTGCCGGGAACAGATCGCTCTTAGCGATAAGACCGCCCATTGTAGTTTTGGATTTAATGTTTTGCATTTGTTTTTTTTCTCTACCTAATCGTTGGTAGCCTAAAAGGCTATTGATTCCAAGTTCGCGCGGACGGGTAGGTGAACTCACGGGCCTGATTTGAGAGAATTGCTAACACTAGCCCTAGCAAGAGCTTCGCTAAATCTACTACCGGATCGGAATCGCGACCTACTATGACGAGCCGGCGAGAAACTCAGTGGGTTGTGTTTATGGGCTAGTTTGCATGTCGAACCTTCGTCAGAGTCGACGAGTTCGACAAGGACGTTGACCGGTGCTTGAAGAGCCTAAAATCACCGAGAGTAGATCCGGGGGATTCGACGAGACATATTTTGGGCGACGGCGGCTTTGCTTCGTCCCATCGCGTCGCCTGGCACGGATATGTAGTTAGCGGTGGTCACGATAAGAGGGTTATCGTGCCGCGCTGCTTTTTCAAAGTAGCGTTCCGACGCGTCTCTGAGATATTTACGTATCGGTTCTTTGCATTTGTGTTTTTGTTTTGGTATACAATAAAGGATACTCTAACGTCTATTCGAATCATTATCGTTTCCGATCGATTATTAGCTGAGTACAAATATACATAATAATATGAATATGAATACCATGAATAATATGAATAACTATCAAACAACATGAATAACTATCAAACAACATAAACAGATTACTAATATAAATTCAGACGTTTGTCTTAGACTATAGCTATACTATAGCTTGGTTCATACGGATTATTCGTATTAAAAAACAGACCTATCTCTGGAACGTCGTCTGCTGGGTCTGGGCGAGTAGGGCGACCGGCGGGGCGGCGGCGAGTAGCGGCTGTCGGGCGAGTACCGCACCGTCTCCGGCGAGTAGCGGCTCTCGGGCGAGTACCGCCTCTGCGGCGAGTACCGCGAGTCCGGCGAGTAGCGTCGATCCCCGTACCTGACAACAAATCGTTTATCTATACTAATATATAGATCTACAGTGGTTTTTACGGATGTTCCGTTATAACTACTGAACCATGCATCCGATTGACTCGAAACTTGGTATCCATGTACAAAATACTTATATGAGTGTAATAATAATGACAATAAATAGGTAATAATGTTAATTTTAAATGCCCAGCGAAGCGGGCGAGTACGGCTAGTTTTTAATAATATTAATAATAATAATAACTTGGAACAAATCACACACGCTCATCCGGCCCCAATTTAGGCTTCCCTGTGTTATGGGTACCAAAGACTGACATACATATATACTTACAATAATATACTCAGTCAAAGAGCAAAGAAGCCTGTTTATCACACGAATGTTTGCTAGATGTGGGAATCGAACCAACGACCCTCAGTGCAATGGTTACGGGCACTAACTACTGCACCACCGAGTCAGTGAGTCAGACAAATCATCACAAATCAAAAAGTCAGGCACACATTGTGCGTCACTACAGCGGCTATAATGAGTTTCACTGTAGTTTGGCAATATTTTTTTTAGTTCTTTTTATTTTTTAGTTCTTGTTCCTTTTTAAATGTCGTCATTTGACGCTCTGGCGATTTTTAAAAATATCGCCTATCCGTTATGACATAGATAAAGAGGATACCTATATATTTTTCTTTTTCCTACCTTTGCTGATAGCCTTGAGAAGCTACTTCAGCTTCTCCTTGACGTGTAGGTGAGCTCACGGAGCTCAAACCGGGAGTGTTGCTAGCACTGGCCATAGCAAGAGCAGTACTTCGCAGAATCTACCACCAGATCGGAAACGCGACCCATTGAGAAGATCCGGCGAGAAACTCAGTGGACTGTGTCTATGGGTTAATTCATCGAGCCCTTCGTCGCAAGTGACGGGTTCGACGAGGACAGTGACGGGTGCTTGTGTTACCTAAAAGCACCGTTAATGGATCGAGAGGACCCGTAATGATGTGTTCAGGGCGACGTTGACTGTTTACCATTCGGTCCACAGGGTCGGGTATGAGAGGGTATCAGAGCAGACTACCCACCTAGGTTGGAGAGGCGAGGGTAGCCTGCCGAGCGGAGGCGGTCTCGGCAGGGGCGGTAACAGCGGCGGCGGTAGGAACGACAAAGGCGGCAGCGGCGGCGGCAGCAACACCGGGTTCTCGCTCATTTCCAGAGGTGATGCTACTTCTGTAAAAAAAAAACGCCATTGTCACATGAGGCCTTTGTAATCTACTCTCTAAAAGAACTAACCTAACCTAACCTATTAAATTAATGTAAATTTTGTGGTTAACAGTATTCATAGACATCAAAACTCTGAATGCCATAATCCATCTTGACACAATGAGGTCGAAGCTTCAATCTTTATTTGGTGTTGTGAACCAGTCCGTATAATAACACGCAGAGGCAAGACTTACAACTAATCTTGCTTTCTTGTACTGTTTTTTTTTCTAGAACTAAGGTCGAGCTGAGGATGGCATTGTTCCCAGTAGATAATCGAAATCAAAATCAAAGTATCCTTTATTCAATTAAGCCTTTACGGATATTTTCAAATAGTCACAAGTTTATCATCAATTTACAATGAGTACAAATTACAATTGTCTTATTTTTTTATTTAGATGTGATTTCAATGAGAAACTCAGTTGTTTCAACCTATGGATAGCTCTAATTAGTATTGTTTCGTTAACATCACCAAAAAGCGCCTTTCAAAAGGCGTCAATAAATAAAAATAATTGCGTTTGTTGTTCTCTGGCTGGCGGGGGACCAGCGCTGGCTCGTCAGCCCAAAATTTTTTTTATTTTTTTTTTGTTTTATTACCCTTTTAGGCAGACGAGCCACACGGCCCACCTGATGGTGAGTGGTTACCGTCGCCCATGGACTTCAGCAATGCCAGGGTCAGAGCCAAGCCGCTGCCTACCGTAAATATGGTAAGGGGGGGTTACTGTGATGTGGCGAGAGGGCGCCGTCGTGCGCGGTGGCGGCGAGCTTGCGGCGCAGCGCGGCGGCGAGGTCCCGCGCGGCGTCGGCGTCGCGGCGGGCGGCGCGCGCCTCCAGCCACGCCGTGTGCGCGCGCGCCTCCACCTCCCCCACCGCCGCGCGCCGCAGCGACTCCTGCTCCGCCAGCTCGCGGCTCAGCGTGTCGCACTTCTCTCTGCGGATGCACCAATTTACTCGATAGTGTCAACTCAAATGTGTATGAAGTTGGAATGTTTGCCTACGTATGCCGCTAGGGGCGTTTTTTTTTCGGGCCAGGGGCCGATCCTCCTACGAGGTCCCCGCACTCCCGGGTGTGGGGTATATTGGACTTGACGATCTGCAAATGTTGGGATCAGACTACGGGCCCAAGGAATTTTAGGAGCGTTGTTCCAACTAAGCACACAGAACTTGCATGAACCGTTCACTTGTCCAGGAACGATTTCAAATATAAGCCGAACAATGTTAATTAATTTTTAACGTTCAACACCTAACTGATTTTCTCTTGTGTAATACAGAAAGAGCTCCTTAATCGCGCTTCATTCATTCGCGTTTTCACTATTGTTGGATTAAAAAAATACGACCCAATTATTATATAATCGGTACATCGGTACAGACACATTGATTCCCGATCCTGCGGACAGAATGGAAAGCAGTCGACGTCGCCCAAAACACGTCATCTCGGATCCTCCCGATCCACTAACGGTGCTTCTAGGTACTTCAAGCACCGGTCACCGTTCTCGTCGAACCCGTCGCTTGCGACGAAGGGTTCGACGAGTAAACTAACTCTCAGACACAGCCCACTGAGTTTCTCGCCGGATCTTCTCAGTGGGTCGCGTTTCCGATCCGGTGGTAGATTCTGCGAAGCACGGCTCTTGCTAGGGTTCGTGTTAGCATCGTCGTCAGGTTTGAGCCCCGTGAGCTCACCTACTAGCCACGGTTACGCTGAAATAGCCTCTCAAGGCTATCAGCTTAGGTAGGTAAAAAAAAAACAGACACATTGATATAAAAGGATTCCAATATATAGGTATCCATCCGAATATCTTTTGTAAGCGTGTCGTCAAATGGGACTAATAAAAAAGTAAAATAGACCTTATTACAACTATACCTAAAGTATATAGTCAAAAACTACAAATTTTTTTCTTACTAAATTGTTTTTTTAATTTGTCACATAGGAACGTATTCCCTATAATTTCATATATGTAAATTACCATTACATATTCAAGGTTTCTGTACTCGCGTCTGAATATTTACCAAACATATTCCCCGCGAATAAAGAGCGTTCACTGTTATTTATAGATACGCTATACAACAGATACACACATATTAGTAGTGTTGTTGTACTCACTTGAATCTCTGTAGTTCTTGCTGCAGTAGTTCAATTTTCTCAACGGTGCTAGCAGATTCTCCCTGTTTACTCAGCCACAATGATTCCTTAGTACTCAATTCCCTGTAACACATTGAAATGTTAAAAAAAATATTCATCAATAAAAACTGATTGGAGTATTAATTAAAACTATTATATTATTTTAATTAAATCTACGTCTTGCTAATATTAAAAACGCTGAAATTAATGAAATGAAGTACATTTATAGTTTTATGTCTAATTCGCAACAACTGCGTACTGTAGATTTGAGAACTAAAAAACTAATGGCTTCAAACCTTAATTATAATATATGTGAACACAAAGCATTTTGTTTTCTAGAAGACGCTTTAGTGATCAGTATTCAGTCAGTAATTAGTAAAATGACTGCAAATGAGTCCTCAGCAGTAGGTAGTGGCTTTGGATGTCCACGAGCGACGGTAACCAACCGTCTGGTGAATCGTCTTGTCTTTATACAATGATTAGCAACCCGCCCTCGCTTCGCTTCGGAAACTGTCATTTATTATTGATTTCTCCACTATTTAATGGATGTTATTATACATATAAACCTCCCTCTTCAATCACTCTATCTATTAAAAAAAACCGCATCAAAGTCCGTTGCATAGTTTTAAAGATTTAAGCATACATAGGGACAGAGAAAGCGACTTTGTTTTATACTATGTAGTGATAATAACAAAATACATACTTGAGTAGTTCGCTCTCCCGATCTTGGAAATACTTTCCTAGAACTTCAAGTCTAGTGACGGCTTCTGTAGCCTGCTGGTTCGTCGCATGTAATGACTCTTGAGTTTTTTTCAGTTCTTGATCGAGACGAACCCGTTCCTTTTGTTCGACCTACGTGTTAATTTAAAATATTTAATTTTATAAGTAAAAAAGAGTTGTGCATCATGTTTTATTCGCAACACCCTGAAGTTATGTATCAATATCTATATTAATAATATATAAATCTACAGTGGTTTTTACGGATGTTCCGTTATAATTACTGAACCATGCATCCCATTGACTTGAAACTTGGTATCCATGTAGAAAATACATGTACTTAATGGATAAGCTAATATTTATATGAGTGTTGGACTCCCTACACCGGTTGCGGGGACGTTAATGATGAGAATCTTTGTGGGGGTGGGAAATAATAACGTTAATTTTAAATGCCCAGCGAGGCGGGCGGGTACAGCTAGTAATATTATAAATTGTTATTTTTTATGATGATGACATACATTGTAAGCACAATGACTTTGATACTAATCGCTCATCTTACAGATATCTTTAGTTCAATTTATAACATTTTTTTATGCATACACAGGTGATCAAGTTCATGACTCAAAATTAAATTGCTATTCTGATAGCATTCTGATGTCTATGGGCTCTAGCATATTATAGACATCACAACGTGAATTTTGTCTCCACCAAGAGATGTGAGGTCTGTATCTCAATTGTATAGTATAACCGCTGTTCTACATTAATAATTAAAACTGGAACTAACCAGGGTGGGGTTACCACCCAGTGTCAGTTTACAAGATGCCTTACAATGCGTAAACTGATAAGCTGTCAAAAAATAACTGGCATTACCTCATACTTGTTGGCTAAATTATTTCTTTCTACTAAAGCTTTGGATAGTTGGGCTTTGATTTCAGCGTGGTCGATAAGTGAGGCCACATCGACGTTCGATGAGGGATCATGTTTCATTTGCCTTAATGCATCCTGTCAACAAGCACATGTTATTAATATAAGCTATATAACAAAACACGTCCTTCATGAAAAGGTAAATAGAACGAGATTAGAATCCATAAAAAAAAATAGGGTGAAATATTGAGATCGTATACCATAATTAACAAAAATGGAGGAATTAATTAACAAAAAATTAACAAAAATACAAGAGATCAATATGGATTGGATGGAATGCACATTAGAGTACATACATATTGAGTATTTTTGAAATTATTTGATATCAAGGTTTACTTCTTGATCCATTTCAAATTTTCATACTAATTCTAAAAACTGATAGCTATTGAAGGTAAAATGAAAATATTCAATTGGGACTTAAGTTTTGGTACAAAATGCTACCGTATAAAATGTATGATCTACTAAAAGATACCCCATAATACAAAGCAAATGATACAAAACGCTTACCTTTAAAGCATCTATTTCGTGTTGCAGTAGTTCGTTTTTGTTTTTAGTTTCTGATAACTGTTTGTTCAATTGTTCTATTTCTTTGACCTGTTTTTCTGATTCTTTTAACGTAGTTTCAGCCGATACATATTTTAGTTGGAAGTTATCTCGATCTCGACTTACTGTGATCAATTCCTCTTCAAATGCTTGAGCTTTTCCTGAAAACGTAAATTACAATATTTTATATGGATATGACGCCCAAATGCATGGACTACTATGCCATCCTACCTTTTTAATCGGGAAACAATCATGTGCTCCGTTTTGAAGAGTGGTATTGCTGTGTTACAATACTATTTAAGCTTCCACTGAATGTCTCATGGTATTCACGTTGTGATGTCTATGAGCTCTAACAAACTATTACGGGATCGCAAGCTCGTCCAATTTTTACCATAAAACTTTTTTTTATGTAAACTTTCAAAGCATTAATTTTTACATTAAAGTGGTAATACGTAAGGAGGTATTACCATTGATTTCTGCAATTTGCTCCTCTAAGTTAGCTCTTTCAGCCAAAAGCTCACTGAGAGTATTCTCCACTTCGCTCAGAGTGTTCTGAAGCTCCTCGGCAGTATTTTCGGATACTCGCAACAGTTTTTCATTGTCGTCCAGAGAATGACGTAGCCTATCGTTCTGTGCTTTCATTTCATTGATTTCCTCTTTTAGTGATTGCACCATATCGTCCATGCCAAATGAGTTGTCTTCAATCCCTGCTAATTTCGTCTTAGTAGTCGAAAGCTCCTCTTTTAAAATCTCACACTCCTGAATAAAAAAATAAAAAAATTGTACTAACAACTTACTCGATTTGTTCTAGAATTCGCTTATGCATCCAGAGCAGAAATTTCTTCATGGTATTTTCTATCATGCATATCACACTAACTTTTCCTACTAATCCAAGGTCTGTCTTAATTTACAGCTTTATTTCAAAGACCTTATAATTTCTGTAATCAGGATCCAAAATCGTGTCTTTGTTGTGTATTATACCTATACAATATGTTACATACCATATAAGATGTAAACTTAATATTACTCAAAATTTCGCTTTTAAAAATAACAGTAGTTATTTAAAATAGTTTTAGTTTATTTAGAAACAAAAATATAATGAAATTACATGAAAATGATAATATGATGTTCAGTTCCTAATTCTTATATTATTTATGTACTATTGCAAAGTCAATATTTGTCTATTTTACATAAAATTCACTGACCTTAGTAGTAAATAACAAATCTCTTTGCAAAGAATTGATTGTTCCAATAAGCCTACCATCCTGTCTCCTTATGTCGATGTAATAATATCCCAATGTGAACAGAAGAACAGAGCTGGCTGTCGTTAGGAGGAATGTTAACAATCGATTTTTATTTGTGTTACTTTGCCCATCACAGTAGTTTTCTGTATAGCAGGCGTCTCCTGGAAAATTTCGTGGATATTATTGAAATTTTTCATAAAGATTTTTATGGCAGATTACTCAAGAGTTAAACTCCTGTATGCAGCTACTACATGTGCATAAAATGTGAAATTTCGATAGTATTTTAAATTATCAGTTAGTAAGTGTTATTGATGAAAAAAGTTGATAAGGCTTATGTGGCAGTACTTCAGCTGAAGAAACACGTCGATAAGTTTGTTATGCATATGTTTCGAAATTTTGATATGATATCTCAAAAAAAGTTCTTGATAACACCGGCCGACAAATGAAATTTTTTTTAAAGTTGTTTGTATTTGAGCCACAAATATCACCAATTTATACTATTTTAAACACAAAAACACCTACATATTTGCCCTATCACATCAGATTTTTTTAAAAGAAGGAAAAGGCATTTTTTTTCAAAATTTAACCAAAAAATCAATAATCATACTACAAAAACATATATTTGAACATATACAAAGAAAACACTGAGTTTAAACAATGCTGCAGGACTATTTAGAGTGACATCTTTTACGTTTCGCGACAAAATTACGTCTGGGTGTAGTTTTTTTGTGAGTATCTTCAGTAATATCACGTGTCAGTGACCAGCAGTAATCAACCATCACATTCACATTCCATCGACCTTGGTACCTGGTCTCCATAGTTTTTATGTCCTGATGAAATCTTTCTCCCTGCTCTTCACTGTAATCACCAAGAATATCAGGAAAAAAGTCCACATGTGAATCTAGAAAGTGGAGTTTTATGCTCATATTACACCCCAATTTTTGATACTTATCCAATAAGTTTGCAACCTTATTTTTACAGTCGGGATGTTTATTATTTCCTAGAAATTTGTTGACAGCATCTTTGAACGCCAGCCAAGCATCTGATTCAGTGTTATTCATTGTGGCATCAAATTTTTCATCAGCCATCAAAGATCTGATTTGCGATCCATCGAACACTCCTTCTTTAATTTTTGTATCAGATAATCTTGGAATTTTTTTACACAGGTATTCGAAACTAGCATTGTTTTTATCCAATGCTTTAACGAACTCTTTCATCATACCGAGTTTGATATGAAGCGGAGGTAGTAAAATTTTTTCAGGACTAATTAATTTTTTTCGTATAACGTTTTTTGTTCCTACTTTGAAATTTTTAAGAGGATTCCATTATTTTTAAACGTAGTGCTTGTCTCGTGCTCTGCTGTCCCACTCGTACAAGAAGCATGGAAATTTTGTATATAAGTAAACAAAAATATAAAAAAAATACATAAGTAAAACATAAGATTTTTTTTAAAATAAACACACTAATTTCAGTAAAAAGTTTATAAACAAAGTAACTGTAGAGGTTTATTTGCATGTAACTTGTTTCGAATGGGTGTGTCGTTGTTGCAACTAATATATTTCCTCACGAGAGGTCGCACGATTCGAGAAAAGTGCGCAAAAATCTAAAATTTAATTTATTTTAATCAAAAAATTTAAAATAGCCAATGTCTTAACTTTTTTAAAAACCTGATGTGATACGATAAAATGAGGTATAATTTCGTGATCAGCACTACCAAATTAGTGGAAAAAAATAATCAGAACTTGAACAAAGAAAATGATGTCGGCCAGTGTAATGTTACGCTATTGTACTATTCTGCTTTTTTATTTAAACTATGTTTATATTCTATTGTAATCTTATTTTAAAATAATTCATTAGTGAATTAAATTAAAACAAATTAGTTTCTTTTTAATCGAATAAATTAAATATGCTGACGCTCTGTGATCATCGGTAATTGAATGACAAACAGAAATTTATTAAAACTACTCGTGTGACACTTTTTATACTTTGATGAAGTTTCATCAAAATGTTGTAGTGAGCAGTTGTAATTAGCAGAATGTATATAGTTCAGCCAGAGGATTTGGGATGATAATAGTCTGTAATCACAAGGTGTGCAAATTTCTCGTCTCATGATACTGTTCTTGTGTTCTCATTTTTTTTGGGATTGCAATATCTGTATTTCTTTATTTTTGCACATAAATACATCTTTTCCACTCCTCGAATTCTATCCAGAATTTTTGTTGCAGGACATGTTTTGAATCTGTATGGATTAGATATCACCTATTTCTCGTATGTGGAGTTACAACCCATTCCCAGTATTTTGATAACACATAGTTTTTCTTGTGAAAGTCACTTGTGAATGTGTGTAAGAAATGAGAAATTGTTGCCTGCCTGTATGATTTGAATTTCAGCATAGTAGCACTGCATGATTCAAGTATGCTGGATCAGTTAGTTGCCTTTCGGCCACTGATGTTTCAAAGCTTATAAATTTATAGTAATCTGGACTATTATATTTACCAACCACTACATAACATAATACTTTGAAAGAGATAATTTTGAAATAACAGTACTTTAATTTCAAAGTAATTTTTATGAGACAGTAATTGGCTAACTTGGGAATCTAGGACTTTAGCAAAAGCAAGATAATTAGAATTATTTAGTTCTATTTACAATTTGAGAAATGCTTATTATTAAAGTGATTATTCATGTATTATTCACTCATTAAATTGTTCAAGTAGCTTTTAATAAAGTTGAACTCACCTGCAGATGTGAAGAGTACTCGAGTTTCTTCATCTATTCCCATCACTGAATAATAACTATGTATTAAGTATTTTATAAAAGAAAATTCTTCAGCATTGTCAGTTTTTGGTTCATCATAGATGCTATCTTCAGTATTATCTGAAATGTCTTGATCATCAGATGATGAGGTCCACATACCAGCTAATGTGTCAAAAATGGAAGCAAACCATCCTTTAGTGGTTTCTTCAGGAAATACCTGGTATTCATCACTAGTTGGTAAATTTGACTCTGCTGTGTTACCATATTCAATATCTACAGGAGTTTCCGTGTAGTAGGAGTGTTTATCACCAACTTCCTGGTTACTTTGCAATTCCTGATTAATGTTTGTGTTCTCATCCATGCCTGAAACTGGTTCTTTTGAACCTTCAGTTGTTGTTTGTATATTTAATTCTGTTGTTAATTGTTGCTCTTCATTTATGGAAATATCGGGTATTGCAGATGTGGATGGATTAAATAGAAGTGGTGACGTTTCTGTAGTGGGATTTTCAAAATGATCTTGTTGATAATTCTCAGTTATGGGATTCAAATATGGAGGAGGTGGTGTTCTTAATTGTTCTGCCACATCAACAAATACATTTTCTTGATTGGGAGCTCTGTCTACATAGGGAGGTATTGATTCCAGTTGTTGTTCCTTTAAGTTCGCATTATGAACAATATTGTTAACATTTTCAACAACTGGAGGTATTTCAGTCATGGCATTATTTGTTTCAAAATATCTTTGTGTTTCAGCTGGATGGGGTGGTGTTCGTATATTTTCGTTTTGATTGTTTAAGACATATTCAGGACTGTGAGATCTATCTACTGAGGGTACCTCCCTTGATTCCAATTGTATTTCCTTCAAATTTATGTTAGGAATTATGTTGTTAGGATTTTCAACAATTGGAGGCATTCCTGTATTGGGGTTATTTATTTCGATATTTCTCTCTGTTACACTCAGAGTAGATGGTATTCCTGTTTCATAGTTTACAACATTATCAGAATTGGGTGATCTATTTACAATGGGCAAAGTTCGTTCGGATTCTATCTCTGTCTTAGTACTAATTGTTTCTGTCAGCCTATTTATTTCACTTTGAGTATTGTCATATAAAATATTAGAAGGGTTTTCCATAAAAGGTGTACTTTTTTCAAAATGATTTTTATTTAATTTTTCGTTTGGGTGATTTTGTTGGTCTAAGAAATTATTTTGTTCTCTGTTTGTCTCTAATGGGAGCTCTGGGTTTTTTTGAACTTGTTCCCCATTTATATTTGGAATATTATTATATAGATTGTTCTGTTGTTGTGTATTTTCTACAGTACTATCTGCTACTGCTTGTTTTGCATGTTTATCATGATCTTCATTTCTATTCATGTTTGAAGGCACTGAAAAATTTTGTTCACTTTCTGGGACTTCATCGTTTAGCATTTGATGAATAATGCCTTCTGTATTAGGGATATTTCCTTCACTGCCACTTCTTGATGAAGATTGAGAGATGGAAATTTGAGGCTCATTATAAACTTCTTTATTGTGAATGTTAGGACTGCTATTTTCTATAATAGGTAAGTCATTACCATGCTGCTCATGCCCTTTTTGAACTGACTTCTCATTCAAAATATTGTGATCATGAAAATTCTCTTCATTTAATTTTTGTATTGGAACTGTTGTCAATGTTTCACTTGTTTTCTGTAATTCTGCTTCATTCAAATTTACTTGTTTATAGTAGTTCTGATCTTTTGTTTCTGGATTATGAACATTGACATCCTTATGAACATTTAAATGTTGATTTGGTACATTTTCAAATCGAACATTTGTTTCAATTGTATTTTTTTTCTGAATATCATTCTCTTGTGCTTCTTGAACATTTGGTATTTCTTGTTGAGGAAAATTAGGAGTATCTAAGAGCCTTTCGTTGACTTCTTTAATGTTTTCAAAAGCAACATTTTTTGGGTTAATATTGTCAACTGGTTTAATTGTACCTAAATTTTCATTAATTTCATTTGGTAAACTTGATGCAGGTTGTGGTGCTGTATTGATATCTTTGACTGTTGCTTCCGTAGTGTACAGTGTGGTACCCTCGACCACTTCATGGGGTTGTTTAACTTTATCAGGTTGAAAGGAAATTTTTGGTATCAATGACTCTGTTGGCACTACAAATTTTGGATTTTTTTCAAATACTTTTTGTTCCCTTAAAAATTTTGAGTTCACAAAGCCAGCTTTACCTTCAATACTTGCAAACCATAGCTCAGGGTTTGTTCCAGCTGACTTCATAAACACCAGAGCTTCAGCATTATTACGATAGGATATGTGGTCAGGATCCCCACTTGTGTAAGTTATCAATGTTTTGGCTCTTGAAAGTGGCTCTAAAACGGTCAATTAATGTATTAATAATATTAAAATGCATGCAGAATATACGAACTTCAAGTTGTCATCAAAAATCACTTACTGCTGCATGTTTCATCTAAACAATAAACTTTATCAGGCACTCTACCATATGATGGAGCTATAAATATTAAAACTAAAATAAATTTTATTACAGTCATTTTCTCATTATTCTAATAAATTCATTTAACATTAAATTACAAAACGTTAGGCCACATCATCTGTCAATCTGTTAAAAATTAATGTATAATCTGTGTGTGTGTGTTTTTTTATAAGGGATTTTATGACCTGGTAACTAAGACTTTTAGGTAAAATCTTAATTTAATTCTAATGAAAACTTTTTTATATGAAAAATGATTTTATGAAATGAAATGAAGTCGATTAATATGAAACATGGCATGAAATGAAATTGAAATAAAATGCAATGAACACGAAATGTAATGAAATGAAATGAGATTATATGGGATGAAAGATAATTTTAGTAAAATGGTGGTCATTTACTGAGACTTTTTCACTGTACTTTTTGGAGGATCCCGAGAAGTTACGTTCAGCGGCTTTGTTTCATTTTCCAACATTTGTGCACTTTCACAAATATTAAACAGTTAATAAACCACCGTTATTACACATTTAAACTCGAAGAAACACTAAATAAACAAAATAAAACAAATCACACCACTTTACTCTTCGCGTTCCCGCCAAAAGTCCAAATTTGTGTGTGTGTGTTTTAGGGATTTTATGACCTGGTAACTAAGACCTATAAGTCATGTCTTATTTTAATTTATATTCATAATTTTTATGAAAAATTATAATGTTGATGTGGCTTCGGCAGTGCACGCATAAAGTCATTTGAGAAGATGTCTTTAGAACATATTTTTGAAGTCTGAAACTTTTTTGAGTTAACCGTAATAGGTACTCGGATATTGTCAAAATTGTTTCTTTTGACAAGAATAAAAAAAAACAAATAATCAAAGTATCGTAATTTCGCACTTACAGAAGTATTCGTTTTAAACATAAATTAATACACAGTTGCAGTTTGGAGATGATTTAGCAATAATCACTTCTTATTAAAAAAGTTTGCTAAAAAAATAAAATGTCAACTTCCAATATAACCTTAATAGATTTAAACACACAGTTGCCTTTTGAAATTGGTTAGTACCTACTATGCATTTCTCTACAACTGTCTGAAGAGTAGGTAACGTAACGATAACATCACTAACATCATTGATTTACTTTAGATGAACGAAAAAGCGTTTTAACCGAATTATGTTCGAATGAAGTAAATCCAGTATGAAATAAAAAATGATTGAGTCTGTATGTAGTTATCTACTGACCTTTATTTTTTTTATTGCTTAGATTGGTTGACGAGCTCACAGCCCACCTGGTGTTAAGTGGTTAATGGAGCCCATAGACATCTACCACTTAAATACCGCCACCTACCTTGAGATATGAGTCCTAAGGTCTCAGTATAGTTACAACGGCTGCTCCACCCTTCAAACCGAAACGCATTACTGCCTCACGGCAGAAATAGGCAAGGTGGTGGTACCTACCCGTGCGGACTCACAAGAGTTCCTACCACCAGTAATTACGCAGATAATAATTTTGCGGGTTTGATTTTTATTACACGATGTTATTCCTTCACCGTGGAAGTCCATCGCGAACATTTGTTAAGTTCGTATTTCATTAGAAATATTGGTACCAGCCTGGGATTCGAACACCGGTGAATCGCTCAACACGAATGCACCGGACGTCTTATCCTTTAGGTCACGACGACTACATGAATGACAAAAACATACTTACCTAAGATATTATGTTTAAAAAATTGCGTATTTTGTTACTCAAGTACTGTGTAAGCTTTCACGACCTAGCTCTTAAAGCTGTTCTACAATAAAACTGAGATTTCGACCTCATGTTTCACGGTTGGTACTTACGTTCGTGTGTGGTGTGTTGTGGCTCAGGTAATTTGAATTTGGCCGTGAGTTCGTTCATGCATTTAAACAATAGAAACAAGTAAAAATAGCTTATCTGACTGTACTAGCTTGCTAGTACCGAGAAGTTATTATAGACAGCAACCTAGATCTTGTCTTTTACGAAACGTACGAATCCTGAGAGCTCGTTATCCAGACAGTACCTGAAATTATTTGTTGAATATTGTGCTATCGCAAAAAAAATTGCACCACCCCAGTACGTCCGTCGCCTGAAGTGACGCATTCCTACACATATTCTATAATCATTCCTTACAAGCCGATGGAAACAGGGTTGGGTGTTTTACGTAGTACGTAACTCCTAAGAGTAAGTACGTAAGAGAGTACCTTTGTGATTCTCATCACAATTTTTATTTTATTGCTTTAGAATTTTAATGGAAAAAACTAATGATGATAAAATTATGTTTTGTACGTAAATCCTACAGATTGAAATCATCTATAAAGCATTGCCGGCATTTTTAAAATTATTTAAAAGTCTGTAACTTATTACTAAAATTGATCATCCATAACTGCAAATTACAAGCCTGTAAAACAAGAAATATTCCTAGAACTATTATTTTGTAGATATAATTTATATTGTTTTTATGTTATTTTTTATGTTATCGTGTTTCTACTTCCTTAGGTAAATTATGTAAAAGTTATAACTTATGCCTAGATTATATACACTTATAAGTGCAGGGTGTTCTTCTTGCAAATATGTTTTATTTCAAAATAACAAGTAACAAGCTTGATCAATATCAATTTAACTTATAGACGAGAAGCTTAAATCCGAGCTTTGTTTTGCTGAGACCTTGGTAATAAGCTGTGGTCATTGTGAAGGCGAAAATGAAGCTGAAGATTTATTTTCGGATTCTGAGTCATCTTGCTTTGATGCTACCGAAAGCGAAATATCGGAAGAAGTAAAGGATACAACTCTTTTTGAAACCAAAGATCACATCGACGAGGATACAAAGGAGGAAGAATTACCCGAAGAAGAAGATGATTTTCATATCTACTTTTTTCCCGATTGTAATAAACCAGCTGTTAAACGAAGTAGTCAAGCTAGTTTAATCACTGTCGATGGTATTCCGAAAATAAATCGAACCTTTAAAATTGACATAAATTGTTCATGTAGTATCGACAAACAAGGACGTTGCAGTTGTTATACAAAATTGCCCTGCAGATGCGGAGCTAAAACAACAGAGGAATGTGCTTGTTCAAAACTCACTGAAATTTGTATTTGTCATGACGGGAAACCACAAACAGAATGCACTTGTAAGGGCAGTAACGTTTGCCTATGTCATCCTGATTTTACAATGCAACCTACTTGTACATGCGATCAAATAGATAAACCGTGTTTTTGCCATTCTGATAAGTTTCCCAGCCCTAAATGTACATGTAAATACAAAACGCAAACCTATTCAGAGAAAACGACCATCAGTGAATGTACTGATGAAGAAGAATCTCAAATAGTTACAAATCTTTCTAATGTTGAAGAGCAATGTGAATGCCAGAAAAAGGAACCGGAGCCCCGATGTATTTGCCGCAAAGGTGAAGATTGTACTTGCAAAGAAGATTCATGTATTTGTGAAATTAAAAAAGTCTGTTCTTGTGAAACTATTTCCAGCCAAGAAGAAATATGTAACTCCGATGACAACAAGTCAATTTGTGCCTGCCCAATCCAAGTAGATTGCACTTGTAATGAAGAACAAGATGATTGTAAATGTTTTCCGGTCAAAGATTGTTCTTGCGGCGATCCTGAGAATTGTAAATGTTTTGTTGCATGCGATTGCATTGATCCTTGTATTTGTGATACTGTACCTAATAAAGAAGTAAAAGAGCTATGCGTGTGTATTGACAAAATGCGAGCTAACAAAAAACCTGATTGTTCTTGTCATTCTAAAACAGAAAAACCTAAAAAACTAAAACGAGTTAGGGCCGGTAAACACGGTTACCGATGGTGTCACGATGTTGATCCTAAACATACGTATTTCGATTACGCATATGACCGTCATGACAAAATTATTTATAAAGAACCATCTGTTGAGAAAATTGAAATATTAGGCCTTCATGACGAAAAAACAAATGAAGATGCTTGTTCAATTCACGGGGTTATTGCTCCACCCTACAAAAAGAAGATTGCGAAAGCCTCTATAGATTGTTGCAGTTCCGTTGGAGGTATGTACATGTATTTTTTTTTTATTGCTTAGATGGGTGGACGATCTCACAGCCCACTTGGTGTTAAGTGGTTACTGGAGCCCATAGACATCTACAACGTAAATGCGCCACCCATCTTTGAGATATAAGTTCTTAAGGTCTCAAGAATAGTTACAACGGCTGCCCTACCCTTCAAACCGAAACGCACTACTGCTTCATGGCAGAAATAGGCAGGGTGGTGGTACCTACCCACGCAGACTCACAAGAGGTCCTACCACCTTATTTTTGTATTTAAATTATGTAAAGTTTATTTATTTAACAAATTATTTCCTTATATAAAAATTCAGTGATTAAATTAAAATAATGATATCTTAGCAGGTATCTGCGATACGATAAATATTATTATGTAAGTTAAAGTTAAGAAAAATTATCTAAATCATTCCAAAATCATTGAATAATCGATTAATGCATAAACCGACGATTATTAAACCGAAGAAATCACCCATTCACCTTCACTATTATTACATTCTTAGCTCGGAAGGGTTCTCTACGTTTATTGACAGTGATTAGTTTAAATAAGGCGTAATTAAAACTAGCACAATCGAAATTCCACATAAAATTTGATTACAAAGTTCTTTTTTTTTAATTTGGAATGCGGAAATTGACAATGGGAACATTTTTTTATTTCTTTTTTATTGATACGATGGCTAGAACGAGCTCATGACCCATATGGTATTAAGTGGTTACGGGAGCCCATAGACATCAACAGCGTAAATACTGCCATCCATTACTTTCGCATTGTCGCTTTCTATTAGAAACAGGCCGGGTGGTGGTACATACCTCTGCGGGCTCACAGGACGCCTTACCACCAGTAATTACGTAAATTATAATTTTTGCGGGCTTAATTTTTATTACACAATTTTATTCTATCATTCAATCAGTTACACAATGATTTTACATAGTGCTTCGTTCACTATCCGCGCCGCCCTCACTGAACGTCGGCATTTATAAGCAAAAAATACAAAGCAAAATAAAATCCGTTGCGTGCGGTGCGTCCGGCGTGGGCCATTGGACGCGTACCTTAAGACCACGACGAATTTAACCATGAACATATGACTGTTTACTTATTAAACTAAATCACATATAATTGATAATGTCTTGCATTTAAAGAAATATACAAAATATCAACATAGTGCATTTTTGCTCCTAGTTTTATCGTAATTTTTAGCTAAACGTTAAGAGCCTTTCCTCGTAAAATTTGATAATACTGGTACATAGTACCGACAGTATATAAAGGATCTGTGAAATGTCTGTCAACGACGAATATTTTTGTTACGGTAATTTTCTATGAAACCCTAAAATCAAAACAGCAGAATTAGGATTATTCAGTAATGTAATAATGAATATTTATAATGTTATTTTATTTGTTTCATACCTCATGATTTATATTTTTAGGCGTTAGTATTTGCGTTGAAACGTTAGGAGAAGATAAAGGTAAATTTCTCGTTCAAACGGTATCACATTCATCAAAAGAAGGTGCTAAATGTGGCTCAAAATTGGTGAGCATTTTAGACTGCAATCTTCATACTATGGAAGAAAATAGAACAGAGTAAGACTTTAATTTAGAGTTTTCGTCTCCTTTGTTACGAGTCTTGAATTGCTCAATCATGTAATACATTAATTTTAGACATTTTGCAAGAAAGGGTCTCATAAAAGAACGACGAAGTTACATGGCCATTTGCGAGAGCGGTTACTACAATAAAGTTACGCGTATTTGCGGCGACAAGCACGTTGTGAAAAGGTTGTATCACACGTTTGAAGCTGCGCAAGATTTCTTACTTGAGGGTGCTAATATTGTACTACTGCGATATTTTGGACTACGTCGTTATAGAGGGAACGTGAAAACTGAAACGGTATTAATGAATGGTGTAGTCTGCGAAAGCATTTACGTAAGTCTCCAGAAATAAAGTGCATTTATTTTTGTATTTTCTTCGGTTTTCTCGACTCTGAAACATAATTAAAAAGTGATTTCACGGAATACTGAGCGTGACCACGAATACTGTAAAGTATTTGAATTGTTGGAAATAAATGTCAATACAAGGACAATAAAAAAGCGAAATATATATATATATATATTTTATTGCTTAGATGGGTGGACGGGCTCACAGTCCACCTGGTGTTAAGTGGTTACTGGAGCCCATAGACATCCACAACGTAAATGCGCCACCCACCTTGAAATATAAGTTCTAAGCTCTCAGTATAGTTACAAAGGCTGCCCCGCCCTTCGAACTGAAACGCATTACTGCTTCACAGCCGAAATAGGCAGGGTGGTGGTACCTACCCGCGCGGACTCACAAGAGGTCCTACCACCAGTGTAAAAATTAAACCGTAAAAGTATTTTAGCTTTGATTGTACTTTTTTTGTATTTGTTAAAAGCTCTCCACGAAATTATGGTTTGAAACTGAGCTGAACATGCAAAAGATCCTTAATACTTATGTATATTATACAATCTGAATATGAATACATGAGTATTCAATTTGTGTATGGCCTTAAATAAATAATACTAACATTATTTGAAAGAACTATTCATCGAGTTTCGAAATAGATAAGGGGTTTGTAAATGATGACTCGGATCGATTTCAGCTGCGTTAGGAATTCCAATATTTGATTTACTAATGAGGCTTTGTTATTTGATCTGATGTCTATGAGGTTAATAAGGGATTAAACGAGATAGATCTCAAATCACGTTACAAATTAATCTAAATCCTTTAATGGATTATAAATAGTTTGGAATTGTTGTGGTACAAGTGGAACTTAAAGCTTAACGTAAAATATTTACATTAATTTAAGTATATACATATTATATTCTTCTTCTCAGTCGTATGCACTCTTGGCAGCGTGGTCGTGGTCATCACTTCGGTTGGTGGTGCGCTTCACCAGAAGTCGCCATTCCTCGCGTACCGCGGCCCTTCTTGTGCACTCGTTAACGGGACCGTTTAGAGCTGCCTTTATTTGGTCGGTCCATCGTAACGGTGATCCGCCGCGCGGTCTTGCACCCTCTATCATGCCCTGCACCACAAGGCGCTCAACTGAGTCGTCACTCCGCCGCGACACATGCCCGAAGAAAGTGAGAATGGGACCCTGAACGATGGAGGATAGTCGCTGTTTGATGCCGAGTTCCTGTAGAATTGACTGATTCGTTCTGAACTCCGACCACGATATTTGCAGTATTCTTCTCCAGCACCACATTTCGAGAGCATCTATCCTCTTTTTCTCACTTTCTCTCAATGTCCAGTCTCAATGTCATCATGAGTCATTATATTAATGTATTTAAATTGTGTGTTTTAGGTTTGTCAGGGTGTTAGTCAAGCTGTTGTGAACGGGAAACCGCTTTTTGTTGTTAAAGTAGAACGACACATTATTGAACCTAATGGATATGTTCATCAGACCTTAACTGTTCTAACTTTAAGAGGTATGTTTGTTGTTTAGTGTTTTGAATTTATTATAAAAACTAGCGACCCGCCCTCGCTTCGCTTCGGAAACATGAAATTTTATTATTGATTATTTACGACATCACATTAGAAACCTCAAATATAACAGCATTTCTTCACTATTTAATGGATGTTATTATACATATAAACTTTCCTCTTCAATCACTCTATCTATTAAAAAAAGCATCAAAATCTGTTGCGTAGTTTTAAAGATTTAAGCATACATAGGGACAGAGAAAGCGACTTTGTTTTATACTATGTAGTGATACCGAAACACGAATAAAATGTTACGTTTGTATCATTTGGTTTTTGGAAATCTGAATTTAAGAGTCGAAAGCGAATGGATTAACAGAAATAAAAAAGAAACAAAAAAGGTTGATATAACCCAGTGAGGGTTATATTAAAAGGTTGATATAACCCAGAGAGGGTTATATTAACCTTGTGAGGTGACGTCAGCTAAGGTGACGTCAGGCAGGCAGCCAGACGTAACACTCAAGCCATATCGCTATACAGCATGATATGGGACATGCCACATAATGTGGGATAAACATTACGGACCGAAAAACAAAAACTTTATATTTAAATACATAGTAATAGAAATAATAATAGAGTTTCTACAAAATTTTACTCGTAATAACGTTAAAAACTTTTAACCCCTTAAGATTTTAATTCTCTATGTTTTATTTTGGCGAACAATAATGTTAGGTGAGAAACTGTTCGAAAAGATTTAGCGATCATCATTAGATACACAGACCCTGTGCTGTTGAGAATCTTTTCATGTGCCTGAAATAGTCTATAATAAATTTTAATCGTCAAAATGCACTTGTACAGGCTATACAGTGAGTCACGAATGGGCTGACAATAATTGTATACTACACCTGAATCCGCTTCTGCGTGTGGTGCCAGAGAGGGACGAGATCGAGCCTCACGCTCCTTTGCGTGAGAAGTGGCGAGAAGATCTTCAACTTTTATCTGATTACTTGGACTATAAGGTGCTTTAACGATTTGTTGCTGTGGTCATTGACGTTGAAATGCATTTCAGATTCTTTCTGCTTATTTAAACTACCATACCAGGATACCACACATGGTACAAGTATAGTATGTAGCCTTCTCAGGTCAGCGACCTCTTGGATGAGAGAATCACATGGGACTTTATGTGATTATTAACAAAGAAACGTTGTAGTAGTAGTTAACCGTCTGTGCTATATGAATAATGCGTCATCACAAGGGAAACATAATAGAATTATACTACTAATATATAAATCTATAGTGGTTTTTACGGATGTTCCGTTATAACTACTGAACCGTGCATCCGATTGACTTAAAACTTGGTATCCATGTAGAAAATACATGTACATAATGGATAGGCTAATATTTATATGAGTGTTGGATTCCCTACACCAAATTGCGGGAGCGTTAATGAAGAGAATCTTTGTGGGGGTGATATAATAACGTTAGTTTTAAATGCCCAGCGAAGTGGACGGGTACAGCTAATAATACTATAATATAAAATATGAAAGTTCAAAATGGCTTTGTAAGAGTTTCGCGTTAGATGATTTTAAAATTTATCTTTACTGTAAAACATTCTAAGTGCTTTTTAAATTAGGATATACAATGGGGTTCACTGTATTTTCAGAGTGCACGGACTTCTGAAGGCGGCCGCTATATAGCTGAGAGTGGCTCGCTCACTAACACCATCCGGGAATATCTGCAAGCACTTCTATTACTTCGTCCCCAGGATGCTTTGCATTTCACGAGACATTACTTTGGTTCTGCTCTATCAGCCCTGGATCTTCCCCATGACGAATATTTCGATGCCGCTTCCAAGCACGTTAGGTATTACTTTTTTGAAGAGTAATTTATTTTCAACCGCCGAGTCATGAAAACTTGGTTCAAAGGAAATTTATAAAATAATAAAATTTGTACTGTTTATTTTGAATACCTCAAGCGTTTAGCTTAGATATTTTATGTATATTTGCTAACATTGTATTCTATTGTTACTCAAGTTTTAAATCATCTGTGAATAATTGCTGAAATAGTTTAAATAAAACACATCAACACTCAAATTCTGCTTTTTATTTCGTTACTAGAAAAAAAAGATCATGTTTGTATATAAAATGTCTCAGGACACAGCCAGTAATGGAATTATGGAGTGTTTACTTGTGATAGTCCCAATTTAAATAGCCGCTGGAGGAGGTCGGCGGAAAATACTCTACAAATGTAATCGTTCTAATGGACCTGTAATTCTCAAGTGTTGAGAGCAAATAGATTTAGTGGCCTCCATTAAAATAAATGTAGGTGCGAGTACTTAAGGAACAGGTAAGGCGCTTTGGCAGCCTTTACGTGGCTTTGGTTCTGCATTTTAAATTTATTTGCCAGTTTATTGGTACATACGTCATTTTGAAGATTGAATAAAAATATGTAAACTGACCATTGTGGGAAAAAATAGGTTCAATTGGAGTTTAAGACTGATTTTTGTTTATAACGAAACAGGCAAAGGAGAAGAGGACTTAAAAGAAAATTTACGTAACTTTGATAGTTTGTTTCCTTCAAAACATTAATTAAAGTTACTTTTAAACCTTCTCTTTTGCTTGCATACGTAATTTTACATACCTAAATGTCATTTATTGTGCGCTATTTTTATTTACACTATATGTGTAGATAAGTTCAGGGTTCACCTCGTGCTTAGTTGTTACCGGAATTGATGAAATTCGTCATGTGGATGTCAGCTCATTGAGACTCTGGTACTCTGGACTCTGGTCAACTGGTCGAGGGCCTCTTGAGTCCGCACGGGTAGGTACCACCACCCCGCCTATTTCTGTCGTGAAGCAGTAATGCGTTTCGGTTTGAAGGGTGGGGCAGCCGTTGTAACTATACTGAGACCTTAGAACTGATATCTCAAGGTGGGTGGTGCATTTACTTTTTAGATGTCTATGGGCTCCAGTAACCACTTAACACTAGGTGGGCTGTGAGCTCGACTACCCATCTAAGCAATAAAAAAATTATAAAAAAAAACTCGAGTTGGAAATCTCAATTATTTTATGAGAGTACTGCAAACGAATGCCTATTATCATTATTGACACAAATATGTAATTGCATTTTGCTGGTCTGAATTTTATTCCGTTTTCTTATTGCTTAGATTGCTGAACAATCTCACGGACCATACGGTGTTATATGGTTATCAACAATGTTAAAGTTACCACCCATCTTGACACGTGAGCTTCCAAGCCGTAGTTGTAAGTCGTCGTGGCCTAAAGGATAAGACGTCTGAATCGTCGACGAATCGAAGACGTCCGATGTTCGAATCCCAGGCGGGTACCAATTTTTGTAATGAAATACGTACTCAACAAATGTTCACGATTGACTTCCACGGTGATGGAATAGTATCGTGTAATAAAAATCAAACCCCCAAAATTATAATTTGCGTAATTACTGGTGGTAGGACCTGTTGTGACTCCGCGCGGGTAGGTACCACCGCCTTACCTATTTCTGCCGTGAAGTAGTAATGCGTTTCGGTCTGAAGGGTAGGGCAGACGTTGTAACTGTACTGAGACCTTATAACTTATATCTCAAGATGGGTGGCGGTATTTACGTTATAGATGTCTATGGGCTCCAGTAACCATTTATCATCAGGCGGGCCGTGAGCTCGTGCACCCGTCTAAGCAATAATTTTTTTTGGCTCTAACTGACTTCTTCCTAAACTTAATTATCACTTTGTGGACCCGTTTTCATATGCTAGAAGACATAAAGAAGAATTTGGAGCGAGAACTGAACTCAATTCCGGAAAAAGGGTTTAAAAATGTTTTGCTGATTGAATTATATTTGTTGGCGTAAGTATATCGTTTCTGACGGAGCATACTTTGAATGTAATAAAATAAATTTGGATAAATAACTAACATTCGGGGTATTATTGATCTTTTCCAGACAATTTCTTAACAGTAAGTGTTATTGAAATAAAATTTTATCAAAATTTCCGTAATTCATTTTTTACCTTGAATCTTAGTCTACAATGCGCTTAGAACAAAAATACACCTGATATGATTGATTTGTATGTTAGGTTTTGTATAAGGTATTCGATATTTATAATGTACTGAAAAATCAACCGCAATACGAAAAGTTTTGGGTCAAAGATATGCATAACCCAACTTCCCTCAAATATACGAATGCCTGATCCTTTTGGATAAAAAACTGATTCGAGGAACACCTCGAGACGTGTAAGGAATTAAAATTTTTATTTCTTATATGTAAATGAATTTATTAATAAACATAGACAGGTAGATGATATAACTGAGAAGAAAATGTTTTTCTTACATTTTTCTCAAAGGTAAATTTTAGCTCAAAGGTTAATTTTTTATATATAAACATTAGCATCTGTTTCGTTTTATTATTATTTCATTGATGTCATAACGTAGTGATATCTTTTCTAGTAGTCGGTAATGCAATTTTATGAATATAATAATATATAAACGACCCTTTATATTCGCAATTCGTTTGCTTTGTAATGAATCCATTAAAATTGTATTAGAGTTTCGTGTACTTTTAATCAATGAAAGTGATTTTCTCGCAGTTCTGTAAAGTAATAAATTAAAATTTAGTTTATTATTAAGCTCCATCAAGCTAAGTCGGATGAACGTTTGAAGTTTAAATTAACTTGTTAGAACGCGTCTCCGAGCCCTCACAGACCAATACAGTTACAAACAACACGACTAAACTCTTGCCTTGCATACAAATAGGGAACCCTAAAATTATACAGTGTGAGGTGAATACTACATTAGAAGTTTGATCGTACAAGTTTCATATTTTACTTAATCTATATGTTAAAGGACATTTTCAATTAAAATGATACCCTAATTTTTATAAGTACAAAAAAGTTTTTATATACCCTAATTCACTACGAGGTAGTCTCTGCTTTCTGTTAAATGTAAATCTGAGGAGAAATGTATTCAGTAGTAAAGTACATCCGTCATAATCAGCTTAGAGCGTACATTGTGGTGGAGCCGGTGNTCATATTTTACTTAATCTATATGTTAAAGGACATTTTCAATTAAAATGATACCCTAATTTTTATAAGTACAAAAAAGTTTTTATATACCCTAATTCACTACGAGGTAGTCTCTGCTTTCTGTTAAATGTAAATCTGAGGAGAAATGTATTCAGTAGTAAAGTACATCCGTCATAATCAGCTTAGAGCGTACATTGTGGTGGAGCCGGTGCGAGATTCGGTTGATGTGGCGTAAAGCTTCTTTAGGTTCTCTTGCAGTTTGTATGTTGGGTCCATGTTAGACGTAAACAGTATTAATGCACCTCATTTCAATTAGATTTACTTAAACTAGTTATGTAATAGATTACACAGATGTATATTTCGGAGCAAAAACGAATAGTTAAGTTATTTAAATATTAAATTACATTTGGAATATGAGATGATGATTTGTTAAATGCAATTAATTGTAAAACTCGAGCTGCACTCAACTAAGTTTTACTGACGTTTCAAAACATTAAATGTGGGGTTTTTCGTTTTTTAGAATGTTATATTAAAGTTTGTTTAACTAATTTGTGTCTGGAAACTAATTTAGTACCTGTGCAGTCCTCTCAAATTACAGAGACTACCAGTAAATGAGGCGAGGTACGTTGTACAAAGGGAGTATACATTATGTTGTAATTAAAATTACTTTTACTGAATATCAGCATAAAATTTAAATGCTAACGAATTTACACTTTAGTCGTCCGTGATCATGAAAATTGTAAAGTATTCGAAGTGTCGGAAATAAGGTAATAACAACAAAAAAAAAACAAAAAAACCCTAAAAGTAGTTCTAATTTCGTCGAAAAATCACGAAAACCAAAGAAAATACTACTTTGTATTGTATTTATAGTTATGGAGTAGCAATAAATCTAGGTAGTTTCTCAAAATCGACGATAGTCAATGGACGTAATTAAAGAAATAAATTCGTATCTCTGAATATTCAAAAAGCAAATTTAGCTTGATTAAAATAGTTTTCCCCTATTTGGAAACTGTCATGTATCCCGTTCCACGATTTACAGCATTTAATTGTCAACGTTTTATTGGACAGATGACACGAAGTCTACCGGGAGAAACGGTGACGTGCTACCGCTGAATAGAACATTGCGATGCTCCACAGAGCTTCGGCTGCCATTTCAAAACACATATCGAATTAATTGAGAAGATTCATTTAATTTTAATCGTGACATAAATATATCGGGTTTCAGGTAACGTTAACTAATGGATTAAACATAACAAAAACAAAAATAGCACACGCGAAAAAATCCTCAACGCTGTTTTTTTTCCTTTCCTTTTCTAGAAACCTCGATGGGTTATGTTAGATTCGCAAAACGAGTAGGTGAGTTCACGGGGCTCTAACCTGAGCAATCCTCAATAGGCCCTTTGATTCATCAGCGAAAACTAGGCGAAGAGAATAGAACCACAGCGTGTTACGGTTGCGAATGCCCCGTGTGTTTTTGATTTTTTTTAACTACAGCACTCATGGATGGATTGATTGTCCATTTTGAAGGAGGTTGAAGTGCGTTACGTTATTATTTTTTACGTTACGTAATTACGTTATTTATCGGTTGTCCCACCTTTCAAAGCGAAACGTATATTATAATTGTTCCGCAGCAAAAATAGTTAGGACCGTGGAATCTATTCGTAGGTATCGCAGTATGGTTATATCCAATTCAGAGAGCATTGACGGCCACGTTTTCTCTTGAATCAATTAGGCCGTTAATTTTGAAGGAAAATTAAGTAGGAAACCTAGGCCGCTAATGTAGGTGGAAAACTAAATAAAAAATCAAAGTCATTAATTTAACCGCAAAACTAAGTAAAAAATCTCAGGTGTTAACATAGACGGAAAACTAAGGAATA